CTATGTATCTATCTATGTATCTATCTATCTACCTATGTATCTATCTATCTATCTATCTATACATCCATCCATCCATCCATCCATCCATGCATCCCAAAGCTGGAGCTTCCCAAGCGGCCAACACCTAACTGAAGATACACTTGTGAGCCACACCTTGGGAAAGTCATCCTATGGAACGCAAGGCATCAAGCTAGTAAGTCTCATTTAGAAGCTCATTTAGATCCTGCTGTAATGAAAGAAAAGAGAAGGGGAAAAAGGAAGGATGGGGGAACATGGACCAAACTGATAAGCGTTGGTTAAAAGCATCACCTGAAGAGGAAGGATACTGGGAACCAACCAGCCCATAAAATACCTTTGGTCCACAAACCATAAAATACCTTTGGTCCACAAAGTGGTGCCAACCATGTATTTGGTGACTTTTGTAGGATTTATGGGTTTTTTGGCTTTTGGGAGAGTTTTGGGAGGGTTTTTTTGATCTTTAAATTTACTGCAGCTGGAGAAACCCAGTTCCTGGGTTCAGTCCCAACCATTTCACTGGGGTCCCAGCATCACCAGTGCTGCTCAATAAGCCCATCTACGTGTGGTGTTGATCTGCACTGCCCTCCTGCCTGTGATCTGGAAGCATCCCTACTAACACCCATGTCAACCTCAATGCTTCCCAGGCCACACTGGATCTGAGCTGTTAGTGCAATGCTGCCCCAACTCCTGCTCCTTCTCAAGGACCAGGATTGGATCCATTTCTGGAACACTCCTCCTTATAGCGCTCACTTTCCTGTTTTCCCACAGCTTGCAAAATGCAAAGGCTTTTTTCACTTTGCTGTCAAGATCTGGCCAGAGCCTTGTTTACGGGCCCCACAAAGCAGGGAAACCAGATAGTGCCACTCTCTGTTATCTGCTCAGCTCGGGATGCATCCGAATTTGCTGGAGCTTTCAGGAATACACCGAGCGGAACGTTAACGTTGAGCGGGTGGGATGTGTTTTGGCAGCTGAGGATGCGATGGGAGGATGCACCCTTGCAGGCTTGCTGTTTCCAGCTGTAGTTGGTGTTTGGTACTAACAATGCTTCGCGTCGTGATTGTGCCCAGAGGAATTTAAGGGAAACAGGGCGGCAGACTCGCTGGCTCGCCGGTGCCCAGCGGAGCGGGCAGGGAGGAGGGATGGATGATGCCAAGCTGCGATGCCTGCACACCCCTCAGCTCATCAACACATCTCTGTGCACTTGCGCTTCCCAGCCAAACCATCCCTGTTGCCAAAAAGCCTCCCAGCACAGCTCCAGTGAAGCCATGGAGAGGAGAGGGCCTGTAGTGACAGGACAAGGGGAATGGCTTGAACCTGCCAAAGGGGAGATTGAGATGAGCTCTTGGGCAGAAGTTCTCCTCTGTGAGGGTGCTGAGGCGCTGGCACAGGGTGCCCAGAGAAGCTGTGGCTGCCCCATCCCTGGCAGTGTTCAAGACCAGGTTGGACACAGGGGCTTGGAGCAACCTGCTCTAGTGGAAGGGGTCCCTGCCCGTGGCAGGGGTTGGAGCTGGATGAGCTTTAAGGTCCCTTCAACACAAACCAGTCTGGGGTTCTGTGATGCTATGACAGTGGCTTCATCTGCACCCAGAAAGAGAAGGGAAGCAGTAAACACCAGCATGGTCATAAGTCACCCGGGTGCTGCAGGCTCCAAAATCGGATTTTACCAACCTGATGAACTTTTTTATATATCCAATATAAAATTTGATGAGAGGTTTTCCCAGCATGGACACGGCTGCATTGCACAAAGCAGGGCAGGGAATGGTCTCAGGAGACTCTGTCCTGCCTCGGCATGGTCATCACATCAATAAGGTCCCTCCTTGGAGCCATGCTCAGCGTTAAGGGCAGCACAGCTCAGAACATCATCATTTCTGTGGGTCTGCAGGCAAGGAGCATTTACACCAAGAAGCAGCCAAAATAGGAAGGTGATGACCATGAGATGGCAGCAGACCTGTGCTTCTCCTCCTCCAGGAGCACGGTGGGTGCTGTCATACACCCCAAAACTGGTTGTACTTATTTCAATGAAATCACTCTATAGGCTCACATGCTCCAGGTACCACAGGTTAAAAACTGATCTCCAACGCAACACAGCTGCTGTAGGGTTCTACCTGGAAGTCCCAAAGGGTGGTACTTACACAGGTTTTAGCTTCTTTCAGGTACATGGTGGGCCAATTATTTTGCACTTGGTCTTTACAGATGACCTGGAAGGACAGAAGAAAAGCAAGTCTCAGATCGTTGACATAAGCTGGAAGGGCAGTTGGTCACTGATACAACAGACTGCCCCAACCAGGAGACATCCCAACCAAGCTCTGATCCATTTTATGGGAACAACACATGTCTGGGAGCCCTTCACTTAACTCTTTGTATGTGGAAGGGTTTTCACAGGTAACTGTCTGAGGGAAGTTGTTAATGCACTTCCCAAACCAGGCTTAGGATTTGCAGTATGGGGTAAAGCAGGAATTCCTACCTCCTTGGGCAGTTGGAAGATCCATGCTAGTGGGCCATGATGCATAAAAAAAAATCTAGAAGCAGGATCCCCTTCCCTCCTTCCAAGCAACTGTAGTTATCCTGGCTTGTGTTTTGGGACCCCTCTACTCTTCCAAACCATTTCCTGCTAATATCATCCATCCATGGTTTATGCTGATAGGATTCTTTGCTCTCATGTGAAGCCCAACTCCATCCCAAGGCTGCTTCTGCTCTCCATAACCGTTCCCTCCCTCTTCCCACATTTCACTTCTTCCCTATTCAGCACCCAGACCATAATCCCCTTCACCTCCATCCTCTGTGTCTCTTCACTGGAAAGCTACAGGAGAATAGGGTTGAACTAGATGACCATTAAGGGTATCTTCCAACCCAAACCATTCTACGATTCTATGACCTAGAATTATTTTGCTGCCCTGTGTTTTGCTAAGGCAGATCTCCCTGACACAAACACGTGCAGTGATGAGGGCTGCAGACTCCACATGTGCATGGGATGCCAGCTAAACATTAACAGACACCACCTCGATGTGCCCACCTTCCCTTCAGCTTCATTACCTCATTCTGGAATGAAATGTTAGGGTGCTGGTGGCAGGGACTGCTGCTCACTGTCTCGTCCCCCGATGATGGGGATGGTGGCTGTGCACTGGCAGGGCTCCACTTGGTACTTGCAGGCGTGGTTGGTGGATGACTCCTCTGGTCTGGGTCCCCAATATACATCAAAAAACAAGCAGACAGACACTGATACAGTGCAGAGGATACAGGCGACACAGCTCCGTTTGTGAAGCTGATGGTGTCAAAGCCTGGAGAGGCTTTGGGTGGGTTGGTTTGGTTTCAAAATTGACTTTGCTAAGGAAAATACATTACTGCTGACTTTCTTTTCTGCTGGTCAAACCCATCAGACTGTTGTGGAGAGATGAACCCAAGGGCAACACAATGAGTGTGTGCTGGTAGCTGGCTGATCACTTAAAAGAGGAGTATTGCTGAGTAAATGAGATGTCCCTCATTTCACTTTGTCTGGGGGGGCTTCCATGGAGGTTTCTACAACAAACATAGACTGTCATCTGAGCTGGTTACCCAGGATCTCCCAGTGATCCCAGTGATCATTGTGCAATCCCACTGACAACTGCAGGACCTCCGTTAGGAGGGGATGAAAGCCCAGAACCTCTTTTGGTGCATCTCCATCATCTATGGAAGAAACCCAGGATGACATGCTCAGAAGTAGTGCCTGGTATAGGAGACAGCCTGGGGCGTCCTGCCTGCCTGCTGCTCCAGAACAGCACATACCTCATGTCTACCAGCCCCATCAAAGTGTTTCAGGTACCTGAGATCACCTCAAGATGCCTTTTTTAAGGTCTGTAGCATCTTACAATGCAATGGAAGTAGTGCAAGGAGCAGAGCAGCCCCCTGCCTCCCCAAATCCTTGTGAGGAAATGGATCTCCATCCCTGCATTCCTAATTGATCCTTAAATGATGACAAAGAGAATCAAAATGCCACATCCTGTTCACAGCCTATTTGCTTTTGAGACTCCTGCCTCTTCTACAAAAGAGATGAGGGACATTTCTCTCCAGACACATTCTGAAGGCTCCACGAGAGAATTAATTTCAAAGCCATCTGTTTCTATTGCCTTCTCTCAACTATTTATTAAATGCAAAGGGTTTTTTAGACCTCTGCGTGCTCAATGCTTGAGGTCAACTATGAATTAACATAACTTCATGTATCATCCTTTAATGGAGAACAACCCTGTGGAGCAGGAGGGGAAAGAAACATCCTTTGTGAAGAGAACCCTTTCACCTCCTCATGCCTGCTGGCTTGCTCAAAACATGACATGGGTGAAGCCAGTGAAGATGGTCTTGCACCAAATGATGCTGACATCTGAAGGCGGAGGGGGGATGGAGATGGCTTTTTGAGTGGCTTCTGTATTGCAGGTAAGTGGAAATTGGATCAAGAACAACGTTCTCCAGGGGAAGATAATGAAGGGCTTCAATGTCATCACAGCTTTTATTCAGAGCCAGATGTGAGCTGATCCCACAAGCCCACCCAAGTCTGGAAGGCTCCATGGAGCTCTCACAGTCCCACAGTGTGATTCTCATGCTACCAGACAAAATGCCAACAGGGAGCCTAAACTGTGCCTCACCAGGGCACGTGGGAACTAACGTGACTCTGTAAAACTCCAAAGAAAACATAGTAATGGTGTTCACCGAGATCCCAAACACCACATGGGCACTCATAGTGCTGCTTAGACAGAAGTCAGCAGCCAAACCCTCTCTGGCAATGATGAGTATCCAGCCTAGCTACTGCTACTTAGACTCTCTAGAGCTTGTAGACTCGGAGTTTAGCCACAAAATCTCCTTAACCACCTAAAGCTCATTTTCTGTGCATGCCCAGACAGCCTTCACTAAGCTGTCAGCCATAGCAGGGATCTTCTACAGTCAGCATTTGGGTGCTGTCAATCTGTTTCACCAACTCTACAATGTCTACAACTCATTGCTGCTGGTTCCCTTTTTCAGTCACTGACGATCAAGTCATTGCAGTCAATGGTGCTTTGGGCACAGTTTGCTCCATCCCAAAGCCAATGGCTACGCTTTGGCAGTTGATTCATGCCTTGAATTTCACTAACTGCATTGACTCAATCTCCAGCAATGACAATAGGGATGTAAACACCCAGCTATCACAGAGACAACGATGCTGGGAAGTCCTACAATGAGACGAGGTGATGACACCCCATAATGACAGGAAGTAGCTAAAGGAAAAGATCACAAAAAAAGAACTCCCATCATGAGAAATGAAGGTTCTTGTCTTCTGGTACCTGCTGCAGGAGCTGGTGTGGTGGCTGCCTCTGAGACCTTGACGGGGCTGTCAGGGGGTAAAGTCCCAGATGCTTTACTAGTGGCAGGGGACACGGATCCACCAAAAGGGGGAACAGAAGTGTTGATGCTTCCAGGTTTGGTGGAAGAGGCCAGTCCCTGGCCTGGAGAACTGGCAGAAGAGTGAGGCTGCTTGGTGACAGCTGTGGAAGAAGGGACACCATAGTCCTTGTGTTCAGGGGGAAGGATGCTCCCTGGGACCCCGGTGCTTGCAATGGTAGTGGTCAACTGGACTGAAGGCTGGCTTCCCTGAGCTTTCACAGCGGGAGAGGATGCGACAGCACTCCCTGTACTCCCTGGGGAGGCTGGAGGGCTGCTCACGTGTGTGAGGACAGGACTTGCAGTAGTGGTGGCTGCTGGGGTTCCCAAGCTGGCTGGAGGGCTGGTCTTCTCCTGTGTGACACTGGAGGTGGCAGCAGGGATGGCTGCTGAGGTCCTGGAGCTGGTTGAAGGGCTGACCTGCTGTGATGGTTGGGGTGACATTGTAGGGGAGACTGGTGGGTTTCCTGGCTTGTTTCTGGTGGTCATTTGACTGGTGGTCATTTGAACAGTGGTGGTTGTCATCACAGAGGAGAATGGTGGGTTTCCTGGCTTGCTTGTAGGGGTGATCCTTTGAGCTGTGGTGGATGGTATCACAGAGACAGGCGCTGGGTTTCCTGGCTTGCTTGCAGTAGTGGTCCCTTGAACCGGGGAGGGTGATGACTTAGGGGTGGATGGTGTGTTTCCTGGTTTGCTTGTAGGGGAGATCTCTTGCTTCTTGGTGGTGCCTGCAGTCGTGACGATCTGCTCAATCTTTCCTTGGCTTGGAGGAGATGTCTTTGTATCATCCTGAGAGCTGACACCTAGGGAAAAGTGAAAATGCCAAGATAAGCTTTGAACTGAGGAAGCTACCCTTGGTTTACACCCCGAAATACTTGCTGACCAGAAACCATGAGTCATTCACTCAGGGCTTGTCTCATGCTCTCAAGACTCATACCAAATGCTGTGCTCCAGTATCATCGTGTCCAGCAGAAAGCAGAGGAGGAGGAGAAGGAAGAGGAAGCCTGAGAAACCTCTATGACAAATATAGTCAAGAACTACAGGGGTTCAAAGTCACAGGGCTTCAAAGGGGTTGGAGGGAAAGACCTGCTGGTTGCAAGAGGCAGTTCCCCCTCAGATGGGAAGTGCACCAGCTCCCATGCAAAGCACTGCAAGTGATTCCCAAAGTAAACTACATCCAGCCCTTAAAGGGATGTGCCAAGTGCTCTTTTTCCAACCCCATTAAGAGGGTCTCCCACATCCCTGAAGTGGCTGAGTAGCCTCAGATGAATAAGGTGACACTTCTGACCATTCTGAATGTTATGTTCTTTTTGCAAGCTCAAGCTTTGTTTCTTTAATTGCTCATGTTTCAGCTGAGGGCTTTATCCCTCTTTCAAACTATAAAACCAACGTAAAATAGGATTTCTCACTTAAATCCAGAGCTAAACCATTGAGACTGCTGAGGCGGTGGCACAGGGTGCCCAGAGGAGCTGTGGCTGCCCCATCCCTGGCAGTGTTCAAGGCCAGGTTGGACACAGGGGCTTGGAGCAACCTGCTCTAGTGGAAGGTGTCCCTGCCCATTCTACTTGCTTTCATAGAATGGATTCTCACTGGACGGAGTTTGCAAGTAAATACAAAAAGCATTTGCTTGGAGCTGCATTATTTTAATGTTAAGAATGTTCAGTTCAGCCGCACATTGCAAATATTGTCACCAATCCACAAGCACATACTTGTTTAACTGATTATTTCACTATTCAGAAAAGCCTGAGAAAGTCACATAAAAATGTTTAAAGTTAGTGTTCACTTTGAAAGGAAAATCTTACAAGAAAATTCCAAAGGGTGCATTTAAGGAAAGAAGAAGCAAGGCAGGAAAATGAAGGGCTCCATGTACATGTACCATGAAAATCCTTAACGCCACCACCTGAACTATGAAAATCATAGAATCATAGAATCATAGAACAGTTAGGGTTGGAAAGGACCTTAAGATCATCTAGTTCCAACCCCCCTGCCATGAGCAGGGACACCACACACTAAACTATGTCGCCCAAGGCTCTGTCCAGCCTGGCCTTGAACACCGCCAGGGTTGGAGCATTCACAACTTCCTTGGGCAACCCATTCCAGTGCCTCACCACCCTCACTGTGAAGAACTTCTTCCTTATGTCTAACCTAAACTTCCCCTGTTTAAGTTTAAAGCCATTACCCCTTGTCCTACCACTAGAGTCCCTCATGAAGAGTCACTCCCCAGCATCCTTGTAGGCCCCCTTCAGATATTGGAAGGCTGCTCTGAGGTCTCCAGCAGCTTCTCTTCTCCAGGCTGAACAGCCCCAATGTTCTCAGCCTGTCTCCATATGGGAGCTGCTCCAGCCCCTGATCATCCTTGCAGCCTCCTCTGGACTTGCTCCAACAGCTCCATGTCCTTTTTATGTTGAGGACACCAGAACTGGACACAATACTCCAAGTGAGACCTCACAAGAGCAGAGTAGAGGGGCAGGATCACCTCCTTTGACCTGCTGGTCATGCTCCTTTTGATACAGTCCTACATTTGTAGATCACTTAGAAATGATACCATGGATTTTTCTTTTACCATGTTTATCTGTTTTTAAGGAAATGCTTGAAGTGTTTCACTGAGATTTGACATTACCTAAGTGGGGAAAAAGCTCAATCTCAAAGCAAAGAGGGTTGTCCATTGCTCGGTTATCTCTCAGTACCATACATAAGGAGATCTGAAGTTGGTTTCTGAAGAATACTTTGTGTTTTCAAACTATAAAGCTGTTTCTCAGTGAGGGATACTGCTGAAGGACAGCTTGCCTGACAAATAGAGCTCTCTGGCAACAGAGAGCTCTGCAACGTCCCACAAGGCTAAAATGCAGCATATTCACTACCCGACTGGTATAAAAACTTGGGTCCATTATTCCATTTGTAATCACTGCAGGAGCTCCATCAATTGCCACTGACATAATTTCCCCCCGTTGCACATGGTAACCATCACCTCTGGGCTGTTGCTCAGATTCACCCCAGGAAAGGTTCGACCTGTTTTTCCTTGTTAAGGAACCATGGGCTGTAGTGAGCCACTTCATCGGTTGTTTGAATTCCAGACAACAAGCTGATCTGGGGGGGGATGTGTTCTTCCATTCGGTGACGGTGCAGAAAAGGACTGTTTTCTTTTGCCTCATGAAACACTTGTATATTATTCCCACTCCTCCAGAATAGGAGTCACACTTCCAAGGTTTGGTTTCAAGCCATATCCTAATGCTGCTTCGTTCCTTTGTGCTGGCAAACTGACAAAGTATTTTCTCTTACAGAGCCTGTTTATTAGCACTGGTTGTGCATCAAAGATCTGACCAAAGCTCTTGTTTCTGAGATTCCTACTGCTGGGGAAAACTAACACCATTAAGATGTGAGTTTAACTGAAACTAGCAGTGTGAATTATTTTAGGAAACCCTGGGCTTGCAACAAAGCATCTCCACCACATGTACAAGAAAAGAGCTTTTGTGGAGGTAAGTCATATTTCCTATAAACTGACCACTATCATAGAATCACACAATGGTTTGGGTTGGAAAGGACCTTGAGATCATCCAGTTCCAACCCCCTGCCATGGGCAGAGACACCTCACACTAAATCATGTCACCCAAGGCTCTGTCCAGCCTGGCCTTGAACACTGCCAGGGATGGACCATTCACAACTTCCTTGGGCAACCTGTGCCAGCACCTCAGCACCCTCACTGTAAAGAACTTCTTCCTTATGTCTAACCTTCACTTCTCCTGTTTCAGTTGAACCCATCACCCCTTGTCCTGTCACTCCAGTCCCTGATGAAGAGTCTGCAGAAGAAGAGGAGGTAAGGAAGCAAAACACAGGCATGGGGAGCCAGCAGAAGAAACCCAAGTGCAGAAGACAGGAGTGAGTTTTCATCCAGCCACCTCCTCAGCTCTATTATTGACTTGCCTGTCTTGATCCTTAGTGATGGTTGTGCCAAGCTAGAGACCAAGCACCCACAAGTTAGCCACAAAGTGGGACAATCCCATAAATAGGGCTGTGAAAGTTTAACAGAGGTTTTGACAACAAAGAAGGTAAAACCCAAAAGAATAAATCCTTTAAAGGTAGAAAGAATACAAAAGAGACGTAAATAAAGAAAGGGTCGGAAGGAAGGTGGAGGAAACCCCCCACTGCTCGTGCTTCCTTTTCATGCCCCAGCCCCATCCCAGAGAGGCAGGAAGCAAACAGGCACCAAAGGAGAGGTAGAAAAGACAATTCAATTCAACTTGGTCCGAAAGAGAAAAGGGCAGCCCCTTTTGGCTCTGGGACAGCCTCCGTGACCAGCTGGGACTCTGGGAGCCAAGAAACCAGCATCCCTGGCCCAGCACTTCCCCATCCCACCATGGGGAGCTGCAGATGTGTTTTTACCACTTTTAGCCAAAATTGGGTGAAAAAGCACAAAGTGAGGGCTTGCTTTGCTGATGGAGAAATTTGGTGGGATATTCCAGGCTCGCCCTGGTTGGGGTGGCAGCAGGGCCTCTTTCAGGGCACACAGAGTAAAACAGCCCAAAAAAGCAGCTGCGAGAAGAACCAAGAACTCAAATTGATGCCTACAAAGCTTTCTACTATTTTATCTTTCCATATATCTGCATCTGTTCTTAGTGCTCCCCTCCTGCTAAAGTCAGGACATGATAAAACATCAATTTATTCTTCTTTGTTAAGCCAGGACCAATGATTTAAATGGGCTTAAAGCAACTTGAGATGCCAGCATACTCCTGTTTGGAAGTGGTGAGCCACCATGCAGGGTAGGGAGAAAGGGATGGATGGATGGGTGGATGGGTGGATATATGGATGGAATTAAACAGGTTGGACAGAACTTTGGGCAACATGGTCCAGGGCGAAGCATCCCTGCCCATGCTAGGGAGGTTGGAACTAGATGATCATAAGGTTCTTTCCAACCCAAACCATTCTATGACAGTATGATTCTATGATTCCCTTTCCCCCTTGTTCTTCCACAGCTTGTCTGTCCCAAAGGAGGCTATTTTAAGATTTATTGTTGCTGGATGAAATGTAATGGCTGTGGTGAACAGCAGCAGTGGAGATGTCCATGGGAAGATGAAATTCAGGCACGTCGCAAACTTGACACTCTTCAAGACAACATGAGGCCCCCAACACAAGGGGGATGTGGACCACTGGAGAGGGACGTTTTTCAAGAGGGAGTGGCTTGAACCTGCCAGAGGGGAGATTGAGATGAGCTCTGAGGCAGAAGCTCTTCCCTGTGAGGGTGCTGAGGCGCTGGCACAGGGTGCCCAGAGAAGCTGTGGCTGCCCCATCCCTGGCAGTGTTCAAGGCCAGGCTGGACACAGGGGCTTGGAGCAACCTGCTCTAGTGGAAGATGTCCCTGCCCGGGGCAGGGGTTGGAGCTGGAGGAGCTTTAAGGTCCCTTCCAACCCAAACCAGTCTGGGATTCTATGAGTGTACACTACTGCAGGCTGGACCCACAACACACCATCAGCGACCAGCCAAGGCTATGGCTGGGTGAGATTCCACGGGGGATCATCAGCCCTGTCCATCCCCATACTTGTCCCACAGATCTCTGAGTACCCATCTGACAGAAATTTACCTTTTTTCTCCAGCTGCATTCAACTGAACAGTTTTCTCAGCACTGTGGCACAACGAGCCAGATGCTGCTGCACTCAGAGGGCTGCACACCTTTCTGCAGCTTTATTGCTCTGCGCTTAATAGTGGTTGTTTGTCCAGGGACTCCTTCTCACTGCAGCAATGGGGAAAAATGTATTTTATTTAGAGTAGGGAAAATCAAATCATGGGTTTTGGCAGGTTCACCACCTGC